GGGGTCAGAGTTTGGCAGAAGACAAGCAGGGGGCCCCCGTGCCCTCCCAGCCTCCTGGGTGTGCAGGTGAAAGCAGCCAAGGACATAGCCACAGGTGGGACCCAGGAGCTCCGTGCCCACAGTTGTGCCTAGACTGGGGCCCTCTCACAACCCTCTGGACGTCCACTCCCGAAGGTGAGCGGGGAGGCAGAGAGGAGACCAGCCAGGGTGAGGACTGACTTCTCTGTTGTCACCTTCTCTCCTGGACCTCTCCAAGGACGTTCTCCCAGCAAATTCTCAACCTCACCTATAGAGCAGCATTTGTGACCCCTCCAGGATGGTAGATTTGTGGGTTTTGTGTGAGTGTCAGACTTGGGAATGGCATGGCTGGCAGGAAGCCAGGACCCACGGACCGGCACAGGGACCACGTCCTCAGCCATCGTGCTCTGTCCAAATGAGCTTTCAGGTTTTTTTTCACATGCTGCTTCTCTGGGCCCCTGGGTAAGAAATTTCCTTATTTATAGCTCTGGGGCCTACTCCACTCACTATCTTCCTCCTCCTCCTCATCATCCTCTAGAACCTTCACTGAGGTATTTCTTAAACCTGTGCATGGATCTTCTGGGCCCCTCTCCAGATCTTGCCTTAGGTCCCTGCTTGGGTCCTTGTTTCCTTGGGGAAGGACCCTCAAGGAGCCCTTCCCAGGGATTCTTTCCCACACAAACCCCAGAAACTGCCGTCCTGAAGGGGTCAGATGCTCTGTGAACACCTCCCAGGAGATTTTCCTCCTTGATCCATACACTCAGCAGATGCTTGAACCTCACACTATAAGATTCCGGGTGAGGCACAGGTGGGGCTCAAACCTCCAGTCCCTGGAGCCCATGGAACTCAATGCTCAGCCTGGACCCTTCCACACTCTGCTTTTCCCTCCTGGGCCATCAGTGAGTCTGGGGACAACTCTATAGGTGAGGTTGACAATTTCCTGGGACAACGCCCTTGGGAAGTCCAGGAGACAAGGTGACAACAGAGCAGTCATTTCTCACCCTGATTGGTTTTCTCTCTGCCCCCTCACCTGCAGGAGAGGACGTCCAGAGAGGGCCCCAGTCATGGGACAACCACGGGCCCTCAGAGGCCCCTCCTGCTGGAGAGCATGGCAGGTGACCTTCTCAGCCCCTCACATTCAGCCTCGGGGACAGAACCTGGCAGAGTAGGACTGTCCTGGGGATCAAGAGAGGCAGCGCAGTGCCAAGTGGAAGTCCAGCAATGGCCAGGGACGCGTCAGGGGAGGGGAAGGAGAGCGTGGCCTCAGGAGACCCTTTGGGTAGCGGAGCAGTGCTGGGGCTCAGCGGTGGGTCCCAATCCTAAGGGCCCCGGAGACCATAGAGGCCGAGGAGGAGAAGACCCCTGCTTGCGAAGTCAGCGTGGGAGCAAGTATGATCACAAACTACCAAGCTGTCAATGTGAATCTGAGCTCGGGGTCTCTGGGGACCAGTAAGAACTCTCCACTGTCTAGAATTTCTCCCAGCCAGGGTGCAGGAGAGCTACGCCTCAAAGCAAAGGTTGTGAGTAAGTTTGAGTTCCAAGTGGAAATAGAGTCAGAGAACCAGCTTCAGGGTCTGCTACTGGAGTCCTTCTCCAAGACTGTGCCACTGGCCTGACTTCCCAGGCTGTCACACCGACATTGCCCCCACCCACCGCAGACATGTTGCCTGCTCAGGCCCCTCTGTCCTATTCCATGAGTGTCTCCAGTAGGGAAATGTCATCCTCCCAGGGCTATGTGACCTCGCATGGAAGGGAGGGAGCAGCCAGGGGCAGCAGGAGCCCAGCAGCCCAAAATTCAAGGTGCCCTGGAAGAGTCAGGGGGAGAAGTTTGGTCCCGCTGAGAAGACAGAGGGGGAGGCCCAAACTAGGAGAGCACGAACAGAGGTCTGCAGGAAGAAGGATCTCCCAAGACGGTGGGATGAGCCATGCTGCCCGGGCCAGGGAATACGATCATTTTCTGGCAGAAGACTTACAGAAGAAAGCCGCTTCAGTGCAGGGAATACTTTGTGCAGTGCCTGAAGGCCAATATAAAAAGGCAAAAGGCAGGAAGATCCCCTGCAGAAGGGCAAGCCCAGGTCAGCCCCAGCCCAGAGCCCAGGGCCTGCCACAAGAAGAGTGTCCGTGCACAGCACGGCTGCCGAAGTCCAGGCACTCGTTACACTAGTTGGACAGATGCCAGTGGAGAAAGTGGGGGTTGGCATGGACTTAGTTCCTTGGAGTTCAATTGTCACAAGGAGGAACTCTAGGCCCTGGTGAATTGGTGTTCCTGCTACCCTGGGCATCCCTCCTACCCAGAGCAAACGAGAGTGAGGCAGGATGTGACATGTGGTCACTGCACCACCACCATGGGCCACAGTCATTGTAGGAAGGGCAGGTTGGTCCAAAACAGGGACGGCAGTTGGGCCTCTGCACTCAGGGAGCCGGTGTCTGCAGCCAGTTCCTGCCAGCATGAGCTAAGGGTGGCAAGAGCCTTGGGCCACTTTCACTGTCACCCAACATGGTTGTCTTCTCAACCAGACCATGCTGTGTGTGCCTTTCCAGGTGGGAAGTTTTCTCCGAGTGAAATCTGGTTCATTCAGATAAGACCTGTTTTGTCTCCTGGTATCACATCCCCTATATGCTAACGGCTTCCTCCTACCAAGACGTGTATTGCTTCCTAATGTTCCTAATAGATGTGTTTTTTTCTCATGAGTGCTGGTGGCTTTTGTCTATGGGTTGCCAACGTGCAGGTGAGGGGCCAGCGTCCCTCTCCCTGAGAGTGGGTCCTAGAAGGGACAGGCATGGAGGAGCCTGACAGCAGCTTGCAGACCCACCCTCACCCCAGGGTCTCTCCCTGCACCTTGCATTCATAACCCGGGCATTACAGAGAGTCTTCGGGACTGTCAGACCCAATGGAGACCCCAGCCCGGAGTCTGTCTCACGTCTCTTTGCCTGGCTTTCCCTCTTCCTCGAACTTTGTGCAGTGGTAGGGGAGGGGTTACAGCGGCTTCTTAGGGCTGAAATTCCCCTTGGGCTCCAGGACTGTGGGAGCCAAACAGCTTCACATGCTCCAGTGAGCCGGGAGCTTCTGGGGGTTGGGGCGCTGGCCCTCAGTTCAGAGACATGAGAGATCTGGCCCCCCTGGATGTCA